TTAATTCCTTGTACTACCACTATTTTTCTCTACCAGATACATTTCTCTATTTACTTTCCTTTAGTTATTTGCTCACCCTGAAGGCAACAGTTTTTATATAAATGTGGGAATAATCTTAACATTTTAAGTAACTCCTTCATATTATAATATTATATTGAACATTCCTTGAACACTTTGCCTATTTACAGCAAGGTACTGCTGGAGTTGCTTTGATACACATTTATACTCTAAAATAAATGAGGCTCATTATATTAAATTATATTACTTAGGCATTTTTAAAGTTATATCACAGAAATTGTCCAGTTTATTTCCCAAAAAGCCACATGGTAAATGCATACTTGAGTTATGTCAAAGGTTTGATATTTTGTTGATCATTTGAAAGATGGAATAATAACCTTCCCACCCACAAAACAGCCCCTAGTTTGTTTTGTAGCTTCAGTGTTATTTAACCTCATTGTATCTGAGTTTTTCTGTAAAATAAGGATAATGCTAGCAAAATTCATGAGACAATTTTAGGTACTATACTTGTTTAAAAATTACAATAACAGGTATTGGAGGGGAATATGTAGATGAAATAAAATTATGGGGACATGGTATATGTTCAAGTTGAATCCTTATTTTTATATTTTGTTATATAATATACTTTGTTATATGCAATATTGTATGTAATGTCCTAGGAGAGTTCCTGGTATAAATATTAATATCTTACATACTTATTAAAACATCATCATAATTGTCTGATTAAGAAATCAGATAATAGCTAATCTCTATTCAAATATAGTATGTTTATACTAGCTTGCCTGTCTTGCTGATACTTTTAATAAATGGAATGAGCTTAAGTAAGCAATTCAGGGTTATGATACAGTATTCACAGTTACAGATCAGTTGTCGTAAAATTGACGTTTTAAGTTTGGACATCATGAAAATAAATTTGAGTGCTTTGAACATTTCTTTGAACATAAGATATAAGTATAAAAGATATCTGTAAAATATTTTCAACTTAACAAGATTTAACTGGTCAAGGAACTCTTGTTGACAACTTCTAAATTGGATACTTATCAATAAAGGATGAAAACAATTGATGGATATTTTTAATTCAATTTTCATTTAAAATTTTTTACTCATCCTTTTCAGGGATTCCTCAACTATTAACATAGGCTATTGAAGCGACAATTTACAATTATATAATTCTTAATATTTTGCAATCAAAAGAAAATACAGGCCAGGCACAGTGGCTCATGCATGTAATCCTAGCACTCTGGGAGGCCGAGGCGGGCGGATTGTTTGAGCTCAGGAGTTCGAAGCCAGCCTGAGCAAGAGCGAGACCCCGTCTCTACTAAAAATAGAAAGAAATTAATCAAAATATATAGAAAAAATTAGCCGGGCATGGTGGCACATGTCTGTAGTCCCAGCTACTCGGGAGGCTGAGGCAGTAGGATCGCTTGAGCCCAGGAGTTTGAGGTTGCTGTGAGCTAGGCTGACGCCATGGCACTCTAGCCCGGGCAAAAGACTCTGTCTCAAAAAAAAAAAGAAAAGAAAATACATACATAAATTGTGCGTTGAGGATGATTTAAGATTGTAGCCATCACTCAACTCTGATTTATAACCTTACAAAAATGAGTTACCAACTATTTTATATGGTAAGGTTCTATATAACGTTTAGGGTCTTTTTTTGCCAAGTTTGGAGATGACTTACAATGGAAGAGCAGCAGCCCACCAAATTGAGTTCTGATCATACTCTGCCACTTAAAAGTGATTTTTGGCAAGCCCATTTCACTTCTGGCTATTTCTTATCTTGGGAAGTGCCTTACAGTTTATTGTGCATTTCACGTCTCATTTGCTCTCAATGCAACTGTGAAGTAGTCAGGTTGAGTATTTATTATTAATATAAAGTATTTTAGTGACCGAGAATCCTTTTAAATATGTTACAATTTAAATGCCAGGTATGTAGAGCCAGTTTTCTGGTTTACAGTCTATCTTGTTCATTGTTTTATGGATAGAAAATTAGATATCCAAGTGTTTAGGTTTCTAGACTAGCTTCCTTAACAGTTTAGAATTCTGAAGTTTCTTATGAACTTTTGCAAATTGTTTAGCATATATTTTATTCTTTACTAAAACTTTATCTTGAGACAAAACTAAACTTCTTAAAATCCTGATTCCTGTTTGAAAGATTATCACAGTCAGTAGTGTGAAGCACACATTAAAAGCTTGAAGAATTGAGTGCAAATGTTAACTTACCAAAGATCTTAAACCCAGTAGTTTACAAGATTGGTTCTAAATTATACATAAAATATAAAGGGAAATGAATAATAAGAGGTTATTTGGGAACAAGATTCTCACAGTTAATGTGATGTGTTCAATTTTGGATGTAGAGTAAGAAAACAAGAACATGGCTGCTTATTACAAATTTCTGCTCTAGAAATCTAGCAGCATTTTCTGAGGCCACCCCATCTCCTCCTTTCCATATAGTCAGTTGGGTGCTGGTTCAGCTTGCTGGTAGAGGCTATTGAGGGGAGGCAGGGCCTGCCATAGCTTTGGCAAGTTAGACAACTGATTGTATTCATTGTGTTAAGATGTTTTCTCCATGTTGTACAAACGCTTTCCATATATTTAAGTCACCAAAAGACTGAGTGCTGCCTTCAAGGGTAGGCAGTATCAACAGTGGGGTGACACCTTTGCTGCCGCTGTGCTTGGGATCTCATTCCTCTGCTCCAGTCCTGATCTGCCCTTTTCTCCGGGCAGTCTGCTAACAGCCAATCCCCTACGGCATCGTACGTCATGAGACGTCATCACTCCCCGACAGAGCGCGAAAGAACCCAAGTCTCGCTGTTTATTGGGGAAGACACGCGTTTGTGGTTCCAGGAAGGCTGTGCGAGTGGAAATCATCATCCCGTGTTTTAGTGCCCTGGAAAAATTCATTGTTTTAAGAATGCAGTAGTCACTATTTTTGTTGGGTAGCCACTCATGGCGACAGATACTATTTGCTAGTGGTTCTCAAAATTTGGGATTCCCAGAGTAGCAGTGTGCATAGAGATGTGCTCTTGAGAAACTGCATTGTTGTGGACACATGTCCATTCTTGTCAGTGTAACTCAGAGGTGTGGTGGAGTAGGTTGTGCAGGAGAGTTAGTAATTAGGCAAGAGTGTTAACATTTATGAAGCACCACAACCCAACGAAGTGAAAAATTTAAAGTATTTGTGATTTTTGAAATTTTATAGACATAAGTCAATGCTCATTAACAATTTGAAACTCTGAAAAAGTTATTTTTGATCTTTGCTGGTGTTTCATGAGTACAGTTATTTTCACTTTATTCAAAAGTGGACTCAACTTTTTCTCTCACTTAGTATATTAATGGATTTTTTAATGGCAAGATACATGAATCCACTGTATTATATTTAATGAATGTATTATATGGCTGTACCATTATTCACTAGTAACCTAATAATGGATATTTAAGTTAATTACACCTTTAATATAATAAGACTATTCTACTTATTAGTTCATTTCTTAAGGTGGTGACTTATTTACTTTTAAAATTTAGTAAACAAGAAATTTATAGGGAATCAGTATGGCATAGTAGAAAGAACTTTGTTTAGGAGTTAGAAGACTGCTGTGTATCTTGTTTAATGACTTAATAGCTGTTTGATCTTTCCTAAATTACTCAAACTATGAATTTCCATTTTAGCATCTATAAAATGGAGATAATTTTCTTAGGACAAAATGAGATAAATTAAGGTAAAAATTTTTAGCAAATTGTTTAAAAAAAAATCCCAACATGCGAAATGATAATATCATCTTTACAAAAGAATATATATTTACAATATTAGATATAGAATGAATTTGTAAATGTGAATTCCATTTTTGCTCAGACTTTAGTGTCAGTAGTACCAACCTTGTTAAATTATCTATAGAATTACCATAATCCCTAAATTATCTAAAACCTAAGTTTTCTGAGCATTAGTAAAATGTACATAGTGAATAAATGTACATAAATCCTATTCAGTTAACTTAAAATCACTACTTAATTTACAGAAGATTTTGCCATGTGTTTTCCTAAAAACTAAAAGAATAATTATGTCAGATAGTGTTCTGTAAATTATTTATAATAGTAAAAGTAGACTTCATTATTGATGAAATTGGTAATAGACATGTATTGTAAGATTGCTTATTTTCACTTATATGCACTGTTAGTCTTCTTTGTATGGGTAAACATCAGATAGTAAAAAGTTACTGATGCAGTGTAGTATAGTATAAAAATACTAGCCTGCTGTCAGGCATGGGTTTTGTTTAAATCAACTAATCTTTGTTGAGCCACCTAAATGGGACAAGGCACAGTGAGGGATTAATACAATGGTCATAAAAATTGTACTTGTCTTGGAAAAGGCAATTGGGCTGGATTCTGAAACATGGGTAGGATTTGAACAATCAGAGGTCTTGGGGAAGGGTCAATAAGAGTATGGAAATAGGTATAGAATAGGACAAGACCTGGTTTTGGGATGTTAAGAAATCCTTTTTTGCTGTACCTGGTAATGTATAATAGCAAAGCTGGAAAAACATGATGGGGTCAGCTCCTGGCTGGATAAGAGCTTAGATCAAGCTGTAATAAGATATTCAAGATTTATGAGTAATGCTATTGGAGCCATGTTTTCAGGAAGATACTAATGTTAATTATATTACTAACTTTACCAATATTACTTTAGGTAAGTCACATTGACTTTTCGGGCCTCTTGAAGATTTAAAATTTTTTTTTCTGTTCTAAGAATATTCTTTGAAATCCATGTCACAATTATGGGTTCTTTTCTTATTTGACTAAATTAGATAAGAGAAATTAATGCCTTAAAGAAATTAGGGACTGATCCCTCACCTCCTCATATTTATTTATTTCTGGCCTCTTTTAAACAGCGTCTTTCTTTTATATGTTATGATGTGGCTAAGTTTATTTTAAACTTGATGATATTAAATGTTTTTGAATGATAACTATACAAATATTTCTTATTTCAGGCTTATGGTACAAATTGGAGAGATAGTTACAGATCTTTGAGGTTTCATTCCAGCTGCAAAAGTCTATAATTCAGATTTTTTTTTTTTTTACAGCTTACTTTGGTTTTTTAACTAGCTCAAATCAGTCTTTAAAATTTGGTTTTAAATGAGTTTTAGCTAATGTCTCAAATTGTTTTTGGAAAGAGGTAAAGATTGTTATTGGGTATTTTCTGTACTTAGATATATAATAATTACTGACAATGATTTATGTACTTAAAATGGTTCTTTGGGAATTTGGGAATGAGTTTTTCTGCTCCTAAATTGTTTATTTTTATTGATATGCTTTGAATATTTGATTTACTCAAAAGAATATTTGTAGTAGTTTTTTTGAAAATGGCAACTTGAACCATTATTCAATCGAGTTGATACTGTTCCTTTTATTTTTAAATAGTTGGAACAGATAACGGGAGAGAAGCCATTGAAAGTGGGGCTGCGTTTCTCTTCATGACATTTCACTTGAAGGACTCTGTTGGTCACAAGGAGACAAAGGCTATTAAACAGATGTTTGGCCCTTTTCCATCGTCATCTGCCACTGCAGCGTGTAATGCTACTAGTCGAATTATTTCTCATTTTAGTCAAGATGATCTTACTGCTCTCGTCCAGATGACAGAAAAGGAATATGATGATAGAGTTGTTTTTGGTAAAAATTTAGCATTTTCATTTGACATGCATGATTTGGACCACTTTGATGAACTGCCAATAAATGGTGAAACTCAGAAAATTATAAGCTTAGATTACAAGAAGTTTTTGAATGAACATCTCCAGGAGCATTGCACCCCAGAGCTCAAGCCTGTGGAAAAAACAAATGGCTCCTTTTTGTGGTGTGAAGTTGAGAAATACTTAAATGCAACTGTGAAGGAAATGACTGAAGCACCAAGAACTGAAGATCTTTGCTGCACTTTATATGATATGCTTGCTTCTGTTAAAAGTGGTGATGAACTTCAGGATGAGGTATAGTTGAAGTTATTGAAGTTTTATGTTAATGTAAACTATTTTAATGAAATAGCCTTTCTAAACAAGGGTAGTTAGCAAAGAAGGTACTCCTTTAATATTGTGTAAAGTAGTCGAATGTACTGCCAAATGGTTTTACGTAGAAGGCATTGTATATGCTTTTCCCACTGGAGAGTTATAGGAGGGCTGCAAGTGTAATGAGTAGCAGAAGAGTCAGAGGGCAACAGTGGTTGTCCACATATCCTGGTTTCTGGGACAGTTTTGGTTAAATCTGTTGTTCCATTGTAATAATAGTAGGGCCCTTTTTACTCTACAACGTGTATAGGTTTGAATGATAAATTATATGGTCACACTAGTAATAACTGTTAACATTTGTACACTATTTTATATTTCTAGAAGTTTTGTGATGAAAATATAATAAACTTTAAAATATTAGAAATTTTACTTATAAAAAATGACTTACTGATTTAGATTGATGGGCTAGGTTTAAAAAAATAAATACTGAGCTGGGTGTGGTGGTTCCCACCTATAATCCCAGCACTTTGAGAGGCTAAGGCAGGAGGATCACTTGAGACCAGCAGTTTGAGACTAGCCCTGGAAACATAGCGAGACCCTGCCTCTACCAAAAAAAAAAAAAATAGCTATGTATGGTGGTACACTCCTGTGGTTCTATCTACTCGATAAGCTGAGGCAGGAGGAGTGCCTGAGTCCAGGAGTTCGAGGCTGTGGTAGCTGTGATCATGCCACAACACTCCAGCTGAGGGTGACAGAGCAAGACCCTGTCTCTAAGTATGAATGAATAAATAAATAAACACTGAAAAACAGAGTGATCTAGAAATAATTAGACTGTTTGATATTTTAGATCACTTGTTCAATAAAGACTTGTATTTTTGTAGGTATTTTTTCTATCACATAAAGGAAAACATTTTAATTTCTGCGGTATGATTTGGTTACGTTATTCAAAGTGATGAATTACTTTTAATGTCACATAAAAAGTTTATCTTGAGGGTTTTGTGTTTTTGCTCTCAATACTAGCATTATAGTTCCTTCCTAGTATGAACTTAGAATAATGCCAACCCAATTTTAATACTGGACAAATTGAATGAGTAACATACTTGATAAAAGATTAAGAGAGATGGCATACTGTTGGAGAAAGGACAGAGGCTTTGAAATGAGTTCTTCCTTTCCCACTTATTCGTTGTGAGACTTTAGGTAATTGAATCTCTCAGAAGCTCAGTGTTCTTGTTGGGCAATCTCAGGAGGGTACCAATACCAAAATATAGAATTGATATGAGCATTAAATGTGATATCATATCTAAAATGGTAAGTAGCATATGGTAAATACTCATTACATGGCAGCTGTCGATTCTGTTTGTTGTTATTGGAATTAGGAATTTTTAAATCACACGGAGTATGAATCAGAAATACAGAAAGAAATACTAGCTATTTTTTTTTTCAGAGAGAAATTTAGGGAATTACCTGACTAGATATTGGAGGACTAAACCCATGGTAGTGATAGGTGTTATGCTGATTTACATAGGTTGGGAAGTAGGGTATTATATTGTTAATTCTGTGATCAGTCTCATTTACCTTGAATGTTTTACACTTGGTTTAATTTATCTCAATGTTTCACATTATTAAATGAATTTTCTCTAACATTCTGAAAATAATAACATTGTTTTAAAAATTGTGATTTATAAGGAAAATTTTACTGATATTTGCTTATCATAATTGAATACATAGCAATTATCCTATTATGATTATAGAGAACTGAAACTTATAAACATCAAACTAATAATGGATATTTTATTTTCTGAGTGAGCCATGAAATTATTCTTTTAACTTCTCAATACCTAGGTGAAGTTTGTATTTGTCAGTTCTTTACCACAGTTTTAAAGTGTGTAACTGAATTCGATTGTTAGAGGGGGAGTATTTTCTAGTTCTCAAGATTTTTTCATAATCTACTTCATTGCAGGCTCAAACTAAATTCATGCATCCATCTATTCATCATATATTTATTGTATGCTTACTATGTTATTAGGTACAGTGCTACTTACTGGACATAAAAAGATGAATAAGACAGCAACCTTGTTCTCTTATTCATAACCTTAATTATTTAGCAAGAAGAGACATGTCAACAAGTAACTATATTCAAATATCATCGGTATTATGATATTATATACAAAGAAAATGGGAGGCATAAAACAACAAGTCAGAGATTTAGTAGAGGGTAAGTATGGTAGGAAAAGTATTCATAGTTGAGGTTAAGCTTGAGCCAAGTCTTAAAATGTGACTAGATTTAACTTTTTCAAGTGGATCAGAAAGGTAGGGAGCATATTTCAAGCTTGAGAAAGAACACAGCATGTTTAGAGAGTTGCAGTTTTGTAAAGTGAGAGTGCAGGATGCAAAGTGGGGGGTATTGAGATACAGGGTGTGCAGATAGGTAAGAGTACGCCTTGTGCACCTTGTTAAGGTATGTTATAAACCACTCTGAAGCTTGTATGGTCTGGTACAGTGATTTTTTTCATCCAGGGCTTAATGGATAGTTTTAACATGTAAGTGAATATTTCATATTCTGTGAGTGACTTGAATAGCAGAATTTTATATGGTTCATCCCCTTAGTGTTTTGATTTTCCTGTCTATGTATGAAAATGAACAATCATTATGATAATTTTTGTTCTACAGTGTAGCTTATTCATAGTTTATATTTTAGATCTTTTTCTGTGCAGCTATAGTCTGTTGTTACAGCAAATTTCAGTTTAATTTTGAAGTGATACTTCAATAGAAAAATGTTGTTTCAATACAGTTGTTCTTGACCAGTGTTATTTTCACTTTAGGATGTGCTATACCTTATGTGTTGTCTATTTACTTTTAAATCCCTCACGTAAGCCTGGAAAGAGGGTAATTAAAAAAAAATCAGTTCATATGATAGTAGAGTTAATTTTCATTTCTGTTTAAGCTTTTACTTGACTGTTTAAATAGGAATATTTAAATAACAGACTCTGTGCTATTGCTCCAGAAATTTAGTAGAGCCATGGTAACGTATTTTTTACCTATAATCTAAGGAAAGCATTCATAAAGCTACTTCTATGGTAAAGGAATTTTTAATTTTCAACATTATTTCCCAGCTCTGAATAAAGTTTATTGACCCAGTGACTAATTGATGGAAAAACTGTTTGTAAGGGCTAACCATTTAGTCTTTTTTTCCCAAAGACCTTTATGTTATTGTTGAACTATTGTTATAAACGTGGGAATATAAAGTATATGCATATGATAACATTTACCACAAAGACAAAGTAAGAAAGGTTCTAGTCTGAAACATGTGGAGAGGAATAATGCTAATGACAATAGTAATAATAATCATAACTGGCATTAATGTATGATATAAGGCATTATATTAAGTGCATTATGTGCATGGCTTCATTTAATCTTTATAGCAATGCTTTGAGGTAGCAGTGTGCTGGATTATAGACTGTTAGAAGCCCTAAGAATGGAAAAGATTACACTCTGAAGCACTTCTCCTTTTCATATGTGATTAAAAATTTAAAAAATAGCGTACTAAAGCAAACATAGGAAAGTCTAATAAAATTTCATTTGTTATTGTGGTGGCAAAGTTGATATCTTTTTCAAACATCAAATTCTTAAAAAAAAGTTTTTCTAACTTTTTGGTACTGCTGCTTTGCCGGTATTTTAAGGAAATGCTTTGTCAGCCTTATGGATTATTGCTCTCTAGAGATAGGGATTTTATAGTTTAGTAATGAGTTTAGAGATACTGGAAAATTTGTCTGAGGTTACAGGGTAAGTAGTAGATCTAGGATTTAGATTCACATGTTCTGACTCCATTGGGTTCTTTGTTTGCCAAGAAGTAGATCTATATGTATTCCCGTATTTGGTGCTTCGAAATATCAAGCATCTTAAATATGTAGGGGACTCTTTGGCATTTTCTCTTAATTTTTTTTTTTTTTTTTTTTTGAGACAGAGTCTCACTTTGTTGCCTGGGCTAGAGTGCCGTGGCGTCAGCCTAGCTCACAGAAGCCTAAAACTCCTGGACTCAAGCAATCCTTCTGCCTCAGCCTCCCGAGTAGCTGGGACTACAGACATGCGCCACCATGCCCGGCTAATTTTTTCTATATATTTTTAGTTGTCCAATTAATTTCTTTCTATTTTTGGTAGAGACGGGGTCTCGCTCTTGCTCAGGCTGGTTTCAAACTCCTGAGCTCAAACAATCCGCCCGCCTCGGCCTCCCAGAGTTCTAGGATTACAGGCGTGAGCCACCGCGCCGGCCCTACTCTTAATTCTTTAGAAACAATGCTTTCCCTTTTAGAGTTTCAAATAAGGAACTGGCTGAAATAAGAGAAAAGGTGAAACGTTTAGATCCTCTTTAAGATGAATTTTAATAATTCCTCAAGGAATGCGTTGCATATAAAATACTTCTATGTTCTTCTGCATGTTAAACTAATAAAATAACCCACTTCTTAGCTTTTCCCAATACCATCCTTTCTTCCCTCCCTACCATGAGCCTCTAAGTTACTTTCTCCTAAGGGAATTTCTTCGATTTCTGTAGTTTTTCTGTTAAGGCTATAGTTGTTATGATTCAGACTTAGAATTTGGTTGGCTAGAAAAATCTTTAAGGTTCTTTGTGCTCTTGAAATTTATTTCCTTTAAAAATATTTATTAAAGTTAGTACATTTTAAGTCCCAGAAACAAATAAGACTTAATATTCCACATTATTTTCTTAATCAAAACCTGTCTATTATTGGTACAGACATCTTCTGCTATTGCTGTTTCATAACCAGAATTATAGCAGTAAGGAATGTTCTATTGGGATTGTATATATAGTTCATGGGCTTTCAACAGAAATTTCCCCCCTAGAAAGTAGTAGTGTTAATAACAGTAAAAACTACAATGTTTTGAGTGCCCGTAGGAGTTGTATTCTCTATGTAAAGATGAAAAAACCCAGAGGCTCACTTGTTTACTAAAGTCACAAAGCAAGACAATGG